CCCAGCCGAATCACATTCTTGGTCCAGGGGTGCTAGAGGCGGGGGTCGGAGCTGCACGGGGATGGCACTTGTCTGGTAGGTGCGAGCTTATTTGGTCCATCCGTGGTCCTCCCAGGCGCCGTCGGCGGAGTTGTCGTGTCTGGTCGATATGATGGATACCATTACGTTCGTGTACCAAATTCTCAATGCGAAACTGTTGCTGGCCGGGGACGTCGAGCTAGCCGCTTTCACAGACGCGCCCGAGGCTTGCCAGGGCAAGGGCCAGATCTTCAGGTCTGTTCTCGACGCATTGAAGGGCCACGACGAGTGGCTGAAGAGGTTCAACGCAGTGTGCAGGTCCGTCGGCCAGGTCAGCGAGCTCGGACCCACATATCAGAGGTGCAGAGCCGACATGACGGAAGCTACGGATGAGACTCGAGCTGTTGCCTTGAGCAAGGTGCTTCCCAATGTACCGCGCTTGCAGGCGGGCTTGGTCAACGGCATGATGCAACCTCTGGAGGACATGCTTGTCGATCTGATTCGAGCTGAGGTGGTTGCGACGAAACGCAGATACGCGGATGGCAAAGCGATCGTCAAAGACGCCCAGGCCTTCCAGAAGATATTGGCCATTGCGTCGGACAGCTTCCCATTCTTAAATGACATCTCGGAGTGGATGACCGACATTTCCACAATCTTGCTGAGCGTGCAGGCGGGAGCTACCCTGGATGAGTTCGTGAAGGCCGTCAAGGAGGTCGCCCAGGAGGCGAGTACACAGACGTTGTCTCAGCTTGGAGTTGTGATGCAGCGCTCGCATGGCCTGAAGCTCCAGCGCCCCGAGGACGTGAACTTATTCATGGACGCTTGCCAGAAGATCGACGAGTTCATGTTGCATGGCGTGTCGCTGTTTTGCTCCGAGGGCTTGGCCATGCCAACGGACGAGCTCAAGCAGAACTTGGGATACTCGAAGGACCTGCTGATGATGGACATTCCCGCTGACCAGCAGTCCCAAGCACTGCAGATGTACCGTGGGGCGGCGAAGTGCTACGATGGCTTGACGCGCCTGGCCGTGTGTTTCGGGGGTTTGCCTCGTGATGCGACCATGAGTTTGGCCCCGCCAGATCGCGAGGCGCTGGATGAGCTGCATCGTGTCAACAAGAGCGCCAAGAACGCGTTCGCCGAGTTCACCGAGATCGGTTCCACGCACGGCGTCACGGACCTCCTGGCCAAGCTGGCGGGGCCTGCTGACGCTGCAATCGGGAACGCTGTGAAGACCACTCTCGATTCAATGCGCGAGAACGTTGCGGACGCGCTCTTGACAGTCACGATGTGGCAGGGCGGTGTCGAGAACGGACATTGGACCAACGGCCTCGAGCACAACGACTGGAAGACTGTCAAGGCGACGCTCGACGTCACGGCCTGCAAGATGCCAGACCCGCTGCGCTTCCACGCTTGCCTCGGGCGCTTGACGGAGGCATGCTGGTGAGGAGGATGATGAGGATGGGGTTGAGGAGGCTGTGTAAGGTTTGGGGGGAGTCCGAGTAGGGGGGGATCATTCTTCCCCCTCCTCCCCCCTCTTAGGCGAATCGTTTTAGTAGGGAGTAGCAAGTGGGAGTACGGGGATCGTTGGAGTGTGGGTGTAAGGGGGGCATGACGGCCTCACTTCTGCCCTCCCTTCTCCCGTCCCTTCTGTCTTCACCCTCCTTTCTCTCCATTCCCTCATTTCCTTTCCGCCCAAATCCCATGCACCCCTTTTACTCTCGCCTCCGCCGCCTCCCAGTTCTCCAACCCTTCGCCTTCATGGCGCACCCCTCCTGGTCCTCATGCCCCCCAGCCTTGGTGGGCAGGGTGGTAGTGATGATGGCGATGATGATGATGCTGATGACGGTGGTGATGATCATGATGAGGTTCATGATGGTGATGATGATGACGATGACGATGGTGATGGCGATGACCACTGCCCCGCCCCCCCCAGGCCCACCAGGATGCTGCAGATCTGGTCGCTGCGTTCGACAGTGATGTAGATCCACGTTTCGCTTCTTTCCCCGACCTCGTTGTCAAAGGCCTCACGACTTACGTGAGCGGCCTCATAGTTTATGACCTTGAGGCCCACAAGGCCGACAAGGTCAAGAAGCGCACTGCCATAGGCAAGCGCGTCGAGATGCTGAGATCGATTGGTGTCGACCCGAGCTCGGTCTTGCATGCAGCCGTTTGGGCGCAGACCGAGAAGGCTCGTTGCCTGCAGTAGGGCGGCGCTCGCTCGGCGTGGGCCGAGGCGCGAGATGCCGATGATGATGATGAGTATGATGATGATGATGATGATGATGATGATGATGATGATGATGATGATGAGGTTTCGATGATGATGAGGGGGGGGAGGAAGGGGAGGAGGAGGAGGAGGAACACACGCAACAGACACGGTTCTTATTCAGAAGATGGCTCTCGCCCTGGCCACCGCCTTTCCGCCAGACCCCTCCTCGTCGTCTGCCCGCCTCCCCCTGCAACTCCCTCTCCCACTTCCTCTTGTTGGTATTCCCCCTTTCCTGCCCCAGCTAACTCGAACTCATCCTGAGTTGTGTGTTGAAGGTAGACCTGTGTACCCTGGTGGGGGCATCGGAAAGCAGTCGCATGCTCAATGTTGCTTTCTGGGGGTGCTGGAAACCATGTTGGTAGTTAGTAGCACACGGTGAAATTACCCCGCCGCGCTGTGTTCGATCAGAACTCCGATTTGTGGACCTTCGGGTCGGATTTCTCAAAGCGTTGGGGGCCGCTCGGTCTTCTCCGATTTTTCGGATCGAGCCCTCGATTTCCGAAGCTTCCAAAACACGACTGCTTGGATTTTTGATCGAGTACCGCGCGGCGAACGCACGTCTTTCTGAAAAAAGCCGACAACTTACACTACTCTTTCCCTGGAAAACAGTATTCTGTACACGACTTATTCCTGGTGTCGCAAAAACACCTACGCACGACTACCAACACGACTAACAACACTACTGTTTTGGGTTTTCGCGAATCGAGGGTCTGTAGCACGTGGCTTGCTTCATAATCCAAGACTACCCCACGTATGACCCCAGTGCTGTCGAGAGGCACCCAGAGAGCCCCGAGACCACCGAAGACCGTTCAACAGCGCCACCACTGACCCCAAACCTTCCAAAACATGCTGATGAGCTCCCAAATCCCCCTCCCCTGAAGTACCGAGTCCAAGAGGCCAGAAAAAAAACCAACCAGCGCTTTGGGCGTCGGTGGTTTACCAGATTGGGTGCTCGAAGCCCAGAACACCCCTTCGGAGAGGGGCTTCGCAGACGTCCTCGTCAATGATCACCCCCTCCCCCACGCGACTGGCCGCAAATCAGGAGACAATGCGCCCCCTCTCCCCACGACCCCCCCTTTCAAAGAGCAGCGCAAGAAGGACCCGGAGGCAAAGTCTGGGTCGCGAGCGGGGGCCCCGCGAGCACTTTGCGTTGGTTGACGACGGGGATTGGAAAGGGAGGAAATGGGGGGGGTTCAGATTCCACCCGCCCTGTGGGCGTGTTCGGTTTAACGACGTAGCACCTTCCCCCCCCTCCCTCCCCTTCGGGGAAGGGGGTCTCCATCCTCCTTGCTCCCCCTTCCCCTGGATCCCCAGGAGAGCGCCGCGAAGTGCCAAGGGGCCTTTTTGGCCCAACGTGGCTCCATACAACCGCCCGAGACGGCCCCTACCATGGCCCAAGGTAATCGCACATTCGTGGGCGAAAATGAAGGGGCCCCAGGCCACGCAAATAAATACACACAAATAAAATTATTCCCCCTATTTTCACATATCTTCCAGCCCACCTCCCATATTTTCCCATATCTTCTGGGGAATCGACGATTAATCGTGTCAGTGTGCTTTTTCCCCTCCTGAGAAAAGCATGCCCCTATCCGCGGTCTCGCTGGCCAATGCCCCTTGGCTGCGACGTCCGGCGGCTGCGTGGCGTCGCTGCGCGGGTTCCCCACGCGGCACGGAGCCGTGTGACCGCGTGTCCGCGGGGGGTCGCTCCCCGCAGTCCAGATCGCCACGACGTGGACACAGATACGTTCGCCGCTCGCGACGTGGATCGGCGGCGAGCCCAGGGGGAAATGAGAGAGGAAAGGAGGAGGAGGAGGTGGAGGAGGAGGAGGAGGAAGAGGAGGAGGAGGAGGAGGAGGAGGAGGAAGAGGAAGAGGAAGAGGAGGAGGAAAGCGGCGGGGCTCCTTAGAAGCCCTCTGGCCTCTCCCTGTGCTCGAAGAAGGCTTCGCGAAGACTGCTCCAAAGGCCCGAGGCATTCAGGGCCGTCTGGAAAAGGCTCGCCCCCTCTGCGCTGCCCCCCTGGGCTAGCCGCCGAACGCTGCCCCAAAACAACCTCCAGCATGCCTCCGGAAGGCGCCGGGGCCGCTGCCGCATGGCTCCGAGCGACCGCAGGGGGCAGACGCCCCGAGGGGCCAGCAGAAATCCTTCCAGAAGCAAAGGGCAAGGGATTCTTGCCACACTGTGTGTCTGTTTCGTCTCGATGGGCGTCGGGGGCCTCGAGGAGGAGAAGGAGGAGGAGGAGGAGGAGGAGGAAGAGGAACGGGGG